GATTATCGAACTATCGATATATCGAACTTCGATATATCGATTATCGACTATCGATATATATCGAACTTCGATATATCGATTATCGAATATCGATATATATCGAACTTCGATATATCGATTATCRAACTTCGATATATCGATTATCGAACTTCGATATATCGATTATCGAATATCGATATATATCGAACTTCGATATATCGATAATTCGATATATCGAAGCTCGATAGAGTACCGTCCCTGAAATTGCCAAATGTCCTATAATTAAACATATAATTAAACGTACATTATTGTATGATTTTCGAAATGGTTTTAAAAATTGTATTGAATTAATCGAAATAAATTTGTTAATAGTGTACCTAGGTAAAGACGTACAAACGGAGTCAATTGAACGTCCAAATAATAGCAAAAGTAGCGTAGTTGTTTTGTATCAAGGTGAACAATCATCTGAAAGGCCAGAAACATTTGCAAAACAATCCTTGGAAGATTCAAAATCAATTCGTTCCAGTCTGCAAAGTTCCGACATCACTTCAGATCCTTCATCTTTTTTGTAAATCATTGAATTTAATGATACATTTAATATTTTTTATAAAATCAAATTATAAAATTAAATTACTAATCTGTTCTATTGTGTGTAGAACAAAAATACCGATCGAAAGTACAGAATCTTCGACACCACGTTACTCAATTCCACGAAAGAAGATAACCTCGAGAAGATATTTACGAGTAACCAGACAACAAACTGACGCATTTAATGTAAATATTTATCATAAAAGTAAAGTGATGCAAGTTACACCATCGATGAGAAATTATTGGACAACGACGTCTGAAAAATCATCGAAACAAATTTGTTCAATCGATAACAAAAAAGATTCTCCTGCCATTTTTATTCAAGAAGAGATACTAAATTCTAATAAATTCGATCATTGTCAAGAAAATATAACAGAAAAATCTGACGAAATTAATAATAATAATAATAATAATAATAATAATAATAATAATAATAATAATAATACGAATGAAAAATGTTATCCATCTGACTCGTGTATCACAAAATTGACATCTCAAAGTGTTAACAAGTAAGAACAACCATTAAAAACACGTTTTAATATTAAAATTATTATAATAATTAAACAATTGTTACTAACAGTAGTAAAAATCGTTGCGAAGAAAAAGTAATGAAACAATCGATGTTATCACCAAGCTTGAATTTTTTAATGCAACATATGCAAACCAGTTCAAAAGATATTACAAAGGAACAAGTTTGTTTTAGTACGAACGAAATTAATGAAAGTAAAAGAGTCTTTCCATTTCAACCAACTCCTAGTGGAAATTTGAAAGTTATTCCAAATCAAGTATAATATTTATACATGTACATATATGTATGTATATATATATATTAGGGGGAGTAGAAAGTAATGTGTCATTTATATAAATGTCAATTTTTATGTTGTAATAGTCGTCGAATGTCAGGCACATGTGTCTGACAGGGTTTGAACGTAAAGTTGAACGTCAGACACATGTGCTTGACATGGCCTAAGCTAAAGTTCACTGTCAGTCACTGATGACTGACGTGTCACTCAACGTGATAATATATATATATATATATAGTAATTATTTAATAAATTATTTAGTATATATAAAATTAATATAATATAATATAATATAAATATATTATATTAATTATAATATAAATTAAATAAATAATATATAATAAATAATAAATTAATATTAATTTATATAAATTATTTATTTACTATATTATATTAATTTATTAAATATTATATTACTATTAAAAATATAAAAATTAATATATATATATGTAGTTACTGTAGATTAACTTTTATTGATTGAAAAATAACAAACATGTTAAAAAATGTATATTTGGTTTGAATTTAAGTTTTACAAAACAACATTACTTTACAGTCCATCTAATTATATATATATATATATATACAAATATTTGATCACTTTAAAAATATAATTATTGATAGTATTGATCATATTTATATTCAGGTTGTTTTTGAATCGAAAAAAGTAAGCGTATTAGTGGCAGATCCACGTCACACAAAGGTTAACGTTAAAGCTGAACTCGACAAATCTAATATAGACGTGAACAGATCTATTTCGGATTTTTCAACTAGGCAAGGATTCATCGATCTTCCTCCAGGAGTGACACCATCTGCCATCAATCATTTACAAGTAATATTAACGATCCAATAATTTTCTTTTTCTCTCTCTCTCAATATTCTCTCTTAAATAATATAATCGGCCTTTCTATGAAAAAAATTATGCATAATTTATTATCATAATATTAGAGTTTAAAATATATATATATATATATATATATATATATATATATATGTGTTATACAAAAGGTTCATAAAAAGTTAGCTGATATACCAGTGAAATATAAACCAAGGACACAACCATATAAAACTAAAGTTCATCAGTCAGATATGGAGAAAAACGAATCGATACAACAAACCACGTCTCACGAAGTTCATTCCATGCATGAAGTACCACTCTCATCGTAAATATATTATCCCTATTGTTATATAATAAATTATCATTCATTAATAATTATTTAATTGAATGTATTTTTGGTTGTATAAAGGCTTGGTCTTATGCAAGAGGAACCAATAGATTGGGGTAATGTCATATTACCTGATAAAACTGACTTGTATCAAGAACTGGCTAGGCGTATTACAAATTACAAGTTTGTTTGTTTATTTGTTTATTTAAAAATATAATTTAAAAATATTCTCTCAGATATTTTATTACATTAATCCTACAATTGTACGATATTTATTTATAATTATATATATATTATAATCTTAATATATATAAATTACATGTTACGTTGTTTGTCCGCAATGGACTCCTAAACTACAGAACCGATTTTAATCAAATTTAGCACACTGTGTGCAGTTTCATCCAACTTGAAAGATACGATAGTTTATATCTCAATTTATAATCGCAATATTATTTGTTTATTAACAAAGAGTTATGATTATCTCTATTAGTTCGATAAGATTCTAAGATGACGGTATAAGGTAATTCGTTGACTTAAAGACGTGTGTATCGAACTGATTGTGAGCCACAGCAATGCGTGGCGGGGCACCCCTAGTTTTATATATATATATGTATATATTAATATTATTTATAATTATATATATATTATTTATTTATAATCATATATCATATACAATTACATATAATAATATATTGGTTATTATTGTTTTTAGGAATGCTGATTGCATCGTTAGAATAGGTCAAGATGAATTTCATTGTCATCTTTTGGTACTTCAAAGTTATAGTACATTTTTCGATGAAAAAAATAGCAAAGAAATTGATTTAACCGAGGTAACTTTCTCTGTGAATATTTTATTTATTTATTTTATACCTCTGTATATTACAACAAATAACTTTATTTAAATCTATTAATTATTTACAGAGTACTGTAACTTCCAAAGCATTTTCTATTATTTACGATTGGATGATAAGTCCCACCAGTGAAAGTTGTCATCTTTTACGTAGAGATAACATTTTAGAGATCTTCACGTCAGCCCAGTATCTTGGCATTAAAGGTTTTAAAACAATTAACAATAATACAATATATTTAAATTAACAATATTCGATTATTCGAAAATAATTGGATTGTGGCAAGTAAATGATTGAGAATTTTGTCGATAGGTGTTAATTTTATCTATTTAAATCACCAATGACTTAATTGCCAATATAATAATATCAATGATAGAAATTTATATGAATTTGTTTGTTCTTTCATTTTTGTTTGTTTTTGTTTTTGGTTTTTATTTTTTTTTTAGAATTAGAAGAACAATGTTGGGCATTTATAGACAACGATGAATTATTTTCGGAAAATACTGCATTTTTATTATACATGGAAGCAAAGAAGATTAATAATACAGCAGTGATGGAATTAATGGTGCCTAGAATAATGAAATTTTTTTTGATACTTGTCAGTACGAAAGACTTCTTAGAATTGTCCGTAGAAGAATTATGCCTTTTATTAAAATCCAATTATATTTGTGTTAATAGGTATGTAATTAAATATTATTTAATGAATCATTTGAATATTGTAATATTATCATTTTTATTATGAAATTCCTTTTTAGCGAGATGGAAGTTTTAATGTCTGCGGTAAGATGGTTGATGCATGATTGGGAATATAGAAAAAAATATATGCTAGAAGTATTGAAATGTGTTAGATTTGGATTAATAGCACCCTGGCAACTTGTCGATGTTAAAAGAAATCCGGAAAATCCTGAATTCATTGAATTAATGTCTTATCCGGAGGTACAGAAAATGGTCGATGATGGTTTAGCGTAAGAGAATTCATTTTGTTAATACAATATTTGAGCCATTTATTTTTTGAAATAGTGGCAATAATATACATTTTCTTACCAAGAATGAAGTTAGGGCCACTTTGAAAATAAACGGCTCATTTCTCTATGAAATGAATTTTGACAAATATTCAAAATATATATTATTTGTTTGTAAATCAAAGTTTCGTCATCATCAAATATTGGTATGGCAATCAGACTGAGGATTATTATCACTGGATAGATTTACTTGGTTTGATAGAACCAACAAATCGTAATTGGGCTGGAGAGGATAAGGTATTCTCAGATATTAACACTCACAATTTGTGCTATTCAATATTCATTAATATTCATCATTTTTATAACATTACAGAATTACGTGACATATCGAGAATTTTTATTATACCTGGAAGAATATCAGAAGACAAAAATATCAGAATTGAAGTTTAACAAGCAACAAACTAAATCAAGTTTATGTAATTCATTAAACAAGGATTATCATCGTCAACCAATTTGCCAACAAAGTCATTGTAATCGTGAAACATTGAAATCAAGTGGTACATTTTATTAATTAAAAATACATTCAATTTGAAACAATAGAAAATTTAAAACAAAAAAAAAATGAAATATAAAAACAAATACAAATTTGTATTAAGGTCAAGGAAGTTGTTGTCCTCAGGCTAATGTTGGAAAAACTTCGAAATATTGTACACCCAAAGTATCACCGTGCAGTTATATACCTGCAGAATCATCAACAGGTTTAATGATGACACCAGAAATGTTAAACATGTACCTTAATAATTTGGATAGAAACAACGGGAAGGTGGTGGTGGTGAGTAAGTCACCGACAGACTGCTTGCAAAATGCAACCAATCGAAGGGTATCTAAACAATCAAAACCATGAAAACATTTATTTATATTTACAAATGATTGAAATGATATATATCATTTTGATAAGTTCATCTATTTTGTATCGTTTTAAATAATATAATTATTATTATTATTATATCTTTTGATATTAGTATAATTTTTGACAAATTATTTATTAATGGAAGTATATATAAACAAAACAAAAAAAAGACAAATAACAATGTGATAATTTTTTGGGTAAGTTTGTAACTTGTTGAAAAATTCATCTGACAGTTGAATCAATGGTAAACTTAAAAAAAGAAAAAAAAACAAAATATATTTATTTAAATGTCCATAGCAATGTAATATATTTTTCAGAATAATAATGAAATACAGCAGTTTCAACAGGAAGATTCTTTAATAAAAAAATCATTAAAGAAATGTAAAAAAGCTGCTAATAAATATTCCCATGATAAGATTATTTATTCATCAAAGTCTGAAGAAGATGCAGCTACTACGATACAAGCCACCTACAGGGGTTATAAAGTTAGAAGAAAATATGACGAGGTTGTACAATTTCTTTTTTTTTTCTTTTGGTTTATTAATATTGTATTATTTATTTTTTTTTTTTCTATTTTAGATTAAAAAAACATCATCTGAGGAGAAACAGAATGCAAAACATTTGTCAACATCAATTGGTCAAAAGATTTATGAGCCTTTGAAACCAATCAAAATTTCAAACAGTTTGATGAATGAGAACATCAAAGAAAATGGATTAGAACAAGGTTGTTCTAGTCCTCGAAAAAAGGAAAAGGATAATTTAAGGAATCAATCGAGACTTCAAGTTCGTAAATATCAATTTGTAGATACTAAGTGAACAAACATCTAAAAAAAAGTAAATTACAAATTGTATTTTTCAGTATGATACGAGTGAAACCTTGCCAAATCAAAAGCAACCTATGAAAACGTCTTATAACAATTTGTCATATTCAACAGACCCATCTAAATTAATCAAAACAATAAAATCTCCAACATTTTTCAGTAATTGTGATGAAATAACTAATTCGTTTTCTCATTCGGACAAAACTGAACCTGACGATTCATTTTCTCCAAGAACCTGTACGATATCTACGAATACCTGTAATAATGCAACTGTAAAAAACAATTTTGAAAGAAATGGGACTCGTTATCAAAGTGGTGATAATACTGAACGATGTTTAACAAAATCAAAAGAAATTCAAACTCGTGTATCCAATTACACGAGACCATTGTGAGCAACTATTTTATTTTGTTCAATCAACTTGTAAAATAGTTTGCAACTTTGAATTTATGATTTTACAGACCACAAAGATTGAGCAACAGCATTTTAGGGTCTAACATTGAAGGTTGCTTTTTGGATAATTCTTTATTTTATCCTGATCGTGAATCAATCTTAATATTCGGTGGTGTTGATCCACACGAAGAATTTGGTCATCCTGGAGCAACTGGTAAGGACATTTATAGATTCAAACCTGACGAAAACTTATGGGAATTTGTTGGAGAGATTCCTGAACCGCGACATCATCATTCTGTAGTTTACCTTAAAGGTCGTATTTATTTAGTAGGTAAGTTCTAACCTAACCTAACTAACCTAAATATTACTTAAAAAATTATAAAACATAGGATATTTATTATGTTTTTGTATTTATAGGAGGTGCAGATCCTCGAGAAAATAATTTTCAAAGAAAAAGTATCATAGTTGGTACAGTTTGGAGTTACGATCCTACTACAAGGGTTTGGTACAACGAGGATAACATGTTAACCCCAAGAAAAAATTTTGTTCTCGTAGTAAGCCATGGAAAAATGTTTGCTATAGGTGGTCAAGATAAAAATGGGATGTGAGTTAATTAAAAAGTTCAAAGAGTTTACTTTTTTTTGTCTTATATAACGAACAACAAGACGATTCGTTAGCATTTCTTCAGAGCATTGAGAAGTGCTGAATCCTTTGATCCAACTGAATCTATCTGGAGAGAAATACAACCAATGTATACGGCAAGGATTGGCGCTGCTGGTATAAAATATCGAGATTTTATTTGGGTCGCTGGCGGCATGACAAAATCGAAGAAAGAATTGTTCTCGAGGAATGTCGAATGTTACGACCCGGTTCACAATTCGTGAGTCATTGTATATAATCAATTATGTCGTAGTAATGTTACAAAAAAAAAGTGTGTAATATCAAAATCTAAATTATAGATGGTTAAAGATAGAGCCATTGAATTCACCCAGATGTTTTGCAACACTTTACGTCATTTCCGATTGTCTTTACATAATTGGTGGTGCTTCAACTACTGAAAATAGTACAGATAGTGTTGATTGCATTGATATTTGGGATCCACATCTTTGTGTATGGAAAGAAGAAGCCAAAATGTCGATTGCAAGACACGGTCATTGTACCGCATCGATAGGTTTGCATTTTTATTCAAATACAAAGTTATATATAATGAAATTGTTATTATTTTTTAGGTGCCCAATTATTAATAATTGGTGGTGTAACAACGGTCTTCATGAAGACTTTGAGCAGTGTTGAATGTTATTGTTGTGAACAGGGCAAATGGATAAAAGGTGTGTCACCTCTTCCTTACGCCATTTCCGGTCACAGTACCGTAACATTACCTCCAGCTAATCTTTTAGTTAACTCTTGACATTAGATAGAAAGGGACTTCTAGAGATAAATCCCACAATTAATGTCTTTTTTCTAATATCGAATTGATGTGTGTATATGTGGTAATTATTTATCAAACTTTTTCTATTTTATTTATTCAAAGTTATGTGAACGTGTGAGATCGTGTAATAAATGATAAAAACTGTGCTTTCAAACGTTGTCGATTAATTGTTTAAATATAATATTAAATAATTAATAACGCGTTAATATTAATTAATTGTTTTAGCAAGAAAATTATTGATGTACAATATATATATATATTTTTGAGCATGATATAATATTATAATATAAAAAAAAAAGTACAATCAATCATTCATTTGATTAATGTAATTCAAATCTAATGTAATTTGATATTTCGTATCTACTAATTTTTGTTTATATAAACGTAATGAAATTTTTATTTGTTCTAAACTATTTTTAAAATCATTTTTTTTTTATTTATAAAATCTTCGATGTAATCTTTAATTAATAAAAAAAAAAGAACATTATAAATATTATAATAATATGAATCAATATAGTAGTAATAACAATCTTTCGTAATTTCCGTTAGATGTCAGCATTATATTGGTATCACTCGTGATGCCATCTGACGATAAAAATATACAACGACAAGTTCAAGAAGCATGCGTGGAAGTTTCGAAAAAGAGGTTTCGGATTCGAATGCGACGAGGTAAGTGGCCACCGTGCGGATTAACGCGAATTAACCTGAAAATGGCCGAATCGTGTGACTCCGGAGTGTCAAGTTTAGTGACTTGTGTAATGTCTCATGGACAAACAACATTATCGGATACGACGAACGAGGAAGAGGAGACGATAAGGTGTACCATTTCTGGTTAGTAAAATCAATCTAGAATCATTTTTACATTTTCCATACCTATCGTTGAGTTTATTCAAACCGAAGTTGTTGAGCGCGGCCATGCAACAAGTGGCACGGAGCGCTCTTGCATGCCGGACAGGTACGTCACAAGGATTTATATTACCCCGTACCAAATATATTCTGTATATTCATTTATTTATTATTCAAAAATTTCGATAATATAATTAATTTATTTTCAATATATACGTTAAAGTAACTATATAGTAATATATGTAAAATAAACTAAAATAATTCATAGTTCATTATAAATTAAAGATAAGAACAACATTATTTCTTATCGATATGAAATAAAATAAAATAATATCTCGAATAAATAATATATGATGACACATAAAACCATTCTTGTTTATCGCACTATTTCGATTATCAAGAATGACGTCACAACAAGTAAATACAAATCCCGAAGGAGATGTGTGTCATTCCCTTATATTTTATCATGAATAATTTCTTCGTTAAAAAAAAAAAAAAAAAAAAAAAAAAAAAAAAACAGGGGATGTTTAAAAAATATACGATAATTTGTAAAATATTTCTTAATTAACAAATTAAATTTATATTCTTGTCAAAAATTCATATTTATAATTGAGGTATCGAAAAGTAGAGAATTCAAATTTGAAATTTCAAAGTTGAGGATTTTCCGCGGGAAATATGAATGAGAAAAATCGTCGAATGTTATTTGTAAATAAAATAGAGATGTAATTTTTGAACAAAAATTAATTATTAACAATTGCGAAAAGAATCGTAAGAATAAAAAGCACCGGATAACGTTTCTCAGGTTTACATCACTGTGTTGTTAGAGAGAAAGATTGGTGCCGGTGGGGTGGACGGGAGGATTGGGAAATGCTTTTTACATTAGCACATAGCATGGCGACGATGATGGTGTTTTATAATTTTCTTGTTAATCCCTTACATGTTATCTATCAATTAAAATAATTTCTATCACTCATGCATACTGTTTAAATTTATTATTCATAAATTTATTCAGTTGTATAAAACTTCCATCAAAAAAAAAAAAAAAAATCAAACAAACATTTATTTGTTCATTTTGTTAGTGTATTTCACATTTTTGTGTTTTGTAGTATCGTTGGTTAGAAAAATATAAGGAAATGTCAATTGATGATTGTTTAAATGATCTTGTTTCACTGTCAAAAATCTACTAGGTCAATAGTAATATATTAAAATAACTATTATTATCCCTAGGACTATGGTTAGCTTTCACAACGTATGATAAGGATAAACGATTAGTGGAAAGTGTCAGATAAGGTTAAGTGAGGATGATAACTTATCATATGATAACGTTTGAATACTTCGACAGATTCTTTAACATCCTGTTTATATTTTTACATTCTTGTTTTATGCATGAAAAGTTCATCGAACCAAACCATTTTTTTTTTATAATTCACAAATTTTTTTTCTCATAAAAAAAAAAAGAAAAAGAAATGATAATTGTGCATATTTATCGATGCATGATAATACAGTTTATTCGTAATTTTGTTCATTTGATCATTAACAAAAATATAAATAAATATAATTGATTTAAACAAATTATCATTTGACTAGTTTTATCTGTTGTGTGTTGTTGTTGTAGTTGTTGTTTCATGGAACATATGATTTGAATATTTATGTTTACATTTTTAAGTCGTGTAGATGTCGCTAGTAGTTATTAATTTTGACCAAATTATAAATAAATAAAATTCATTTAAACAAATAATCATTTGACTAGTTTTATCTGTTGTGTGTTGTTGTTGTTTTATGGAACATATGATTTACATATTTATGTTTACATTTTTAAGTTGAGCAGATGTCGCTGTAGTAGTTATGAATGTTTCGCTTGTTTAGTAGTGATGACATTGCTACAAACTATTATTGCAGTCAGTGTGTCGTGATCAAATTTTGAGGTTAAGATACATTCGTTCGTAATTAAAAAAGTAACAAAAATATATATTTCGATTATATTTAGTACGAATTAAATATGTCTATCGTATCGTCGCCATTATTGGAGGATTATTTAAAAAGTTTGGATGAAACAACGACACAACATGAATATTTTCTCGCATTGTTTGTCGTACTTTCTTCGGAATGTGGTTTTAACGTACTAGAAGAAACATCTACCGGGTATGAAATATATTATGTTCAAAATTTCATACGTGTTTATAAATTAACATTTATACATGTATACATATTATAACCTATTAATATGTAAATTTTAGAAACAACAAACAACTACAATTTACACCACCAAGCCAATGGAAAATTATGGAAGATACATATGAGATCAAACTGTTTTTGAAAAATTTACCTAATGTGATATGCAAATTATTAGCTATAATATCGGGAGATAGATTAATACTGAATTTCTTTTCAACTGTAAACGAAAAGAATATATATAGTGCTGCCGTAAGGATTTCCAAATACATGAATCCTTTTGCAGGCTACGTTGGTGATCGTTTTATGAACCTTAAGGAAATATCTGATAGGTAAATTAATATCTGTTATATACTTATAATATCAAATGAAATTTATATTACTGTATATTTTCAATCCATTAGGTTCAAAAATGAATTAATTATAAGAGTACGATCAGACATTTTAACAGAAGCTGGTATTACCAATCCTAGTCTTCAAGGTTTACCCATAGAATTGTTATTAAAGATTCTGCAAATGTTAGATGTTCATTCATTGACAAAACTTTCCCAGTGTTCCCATAAATTTAACATGTTGTGTAAAGAAAAATGGTTATGGCAAAGATTGTACGAAAATGATTTTGGAAAGGAAAAAAAAAATATACCTGAAACTTGGTTTATGTTTTATCGTAGAAAATATATACAATCCAAAACGAGTGCTGCCAACATCAGAAATTTACCTTATTATGATTTATCTTCAATTTTATTTAGATGATATAAAGTGCCCAGTATAGAATAATTTTGGGACAATGTGTGAAATCAAATATCTCTCCATTTATTAGAGTTGCTTCCATGAACGGTTTATATATATATATCTATATATATAACATTAGGAAAATATAATATGGTAACAGCATAAATAAAATCACACGCAATAATGCAATTTCAAAAATAAGATTGGCCATTCATCAGATTCTGAAGAATCTGTGTTTTTGAATGTCATAGTGCATCGTAATAACATATGGACCGTGGAATCAAACGTATTCAAGTAAATCTCATACAAATGGAAGGATAACTGTACATATACTATACTTATTGTATAATGTAAACAATATATTATAAAGATTTTCTTATTTACAATGAATAAATGATAATAATAATATTAATAAAAAAAATATAAAAAAAAAAAGAACAAATATTTTGTAATGTAAATAAATGTATATTGCTGTTATTGATTTGATAAACTTTTCTACAACATTTTCTCAACGTAATTTACCTTTCCAAAATAACAAATAAAGTATTTTACTGGCTTTTAATATAATCGTGTATTTAAATAATTATTATTACTTAAGTATAATAGTTATATATATAAGATAATATTTAATAATATTAATTAGAATACTATATATCTAATATTAGTGATAACATAGGAATTATTAATTATATTATTAATATAATTACTTATATTACATTTATTTTTATATTAAAAATATATAATATAAATATTATAATAGTATATAGTATTATATCTAAATATTATACCAATTATACCTAAATATATGTATATTTAAGTAAATAGTATATAATTTGTAAATTGTAATACATAAATACATTATTACATTGAATAATTTAATTAGATATAATAAATATAGATTATATTAATAGTGTTATTATACATATTAACGATATTATATTTTGGTTTTAGACGATGAGAGGACTAAGACTTTAACAACATGCGACAATGTGGAAAAAGAACGTAACAGTTCGCAAATAAACGGTGATACCGGTAAGTGATATCTATCTAGTCCCATTTTATATCATAGAAATTTGCTGAAATCAAACGACCGATGGTACAACAGTATCACACAAACTCATTTATTAATAATATTACAAATGTTATTAATATTTGAAGAATGTTATCGACATATAGATACTACACACCTTGAAAATTAGATAGAAGTCAAGAAGAAATGTCTATGAATCAGTCAGGTTCTTCGTATCTTTTTATTCTTAGCAGGTTTATCCGCATTCCAATAAGAATACCAATGAAATTCAACAACAACAACACACACAACTTGTACGAACGGATCATCATCATCATCATCACACTGACTGAGTAAATTGAAACTCAGGAAGATACAAAAGAAAAAAAAAACCAAAAAATGCAAAACATTAACCGGATACATAAAACACGTGACTCATTAACGTCGCTAGATTTATAAATTTCAAGGAAAGAGAGTAGAGAAGACAAAATGAAAAAAAAGAAACTTAAAGGGGTTATCTCTTCTTCTTTTTTTTCTTATTCTTCTTCTTCTTCTTCTTCTTCATTCCTTTGGCGAGTTTAGGAAGTCTCGTAAAAAGCTTAGTAAAAAAAAATGATGCCAACGGGCACATTGAAAAGAGTGTTGTGTTGTGTTGTGTCTTTGCAAATGTAGAAAAGAGTTTTCTTTTTTCTTCTTTTTTTTTTTTTGTAGCTCAATTGACCTTCGTTCGAAAGTACTACGAAAGTCGGTAAAAAGAAGAATGATTTTTTTTTTTTTATATTAAATTAAAACCTTTCAAAGGGGTGACGGGGGGGGGTAGAAAAAAAACAACGACATTATAATTACATTTTTATTTCTCAACTTATTTCTCAAAAAAGGATTCTTATTATTAAAATTCTTTGTAAGAAAATAAAAAATGTTGTAAGGGGTGACGGAGATTAGTGGTGGTGATGGTGGTGGTGGTGATGGTGGTGGTGGTGGTGGAAGCAGGCAGTATTCGACAACGTTAGTCGAATTAGGTCAAATTGGTCGAAGGTTAACTCAGAGAAATCAGGTCACTGATCTAGGCGACCAGAAATGGATGGAGGGGTGGTAGTGGGGGTGGGTTGGGGTGGTTGGGAATGGGAGATAAAAAAGAATGGAAATATCATCTTTGTTTTTTTTTTTTTTGATATTTTTTTTGTATAAACAATATAGTAAACCTCTATTTTAATTTTGGAAATAAAAAATGGAATAAAATATATATATATGTATGTGTATGTGTATATGTATATGTATGTGTGAGAAGACGCGTGTGGTCCGGGGGCCACGATACGCGCATATTTCGAGGCCGACAGAGAGCTTTTAAGCTTGCGCTGTTTGAAGCTCGCTTTTTCCATCATCTTCTCTCTCTGTCTCTCTCTCTCTCTCTCTCTCACTTCCACCCTCGCAGCTATGGTACTTGGTACATATACACACACACATACTTGGCACGGGTTGCTCCCCTGGTTTCTCTCTCATCCCCAGTGCGCTCATCGAGCCCGTCCTGGACGAAAGTCCTTCCCGCTCGTCTTTCCGTTTTAAAACCCACGTTTCTCACGAGAAATAAAAAAACAAATATATATATATATATATATTTATACACGTACATATACATACATACATACATACATAAATACATACAATACACGTGTGACGGGCGCGAAATTTGACTTTTCATCTCTTAAGTTCGATAAAGAAAAAAAAAGAAAGAAAAAAAAAAAATAGAAAAAAATTTAATGGTCAAACAACGTGAGTTTGATTTTACAATTGTTACACAGTGTTCATCGAAAATTATTTTGAAAATCCTGATTGGATTATATATATATATATGTATTTATTAGATAAAGTGCGTATTTTGTTTTGTTTTGTTTTGTTTTTTTGTTTTCATGTGAATTATGAAAAGTGTTTGTTTTATTTGTTATAAAATAAAATTTGTATAAAGTTCATCGTTTTTATCAGTGGACAATTTATTGGATGCAAATTGTTAGATGCATCAGTTTTTTTTTCGATCACTCGGTTCGGGATGTTTCTTATGGAACGTTTGGATAACTAGATCTTTATAGTTTGAAAATTATTTTGATAAAATAATAAAACTCTATAAATATATATATTATTATATTATATAATATTATACAGTATAATATAGTATAATATAGCATTGTATACTGTAATATAGTACTATACAGTATAATATAGTATTGTATACTGCAATATAGTATTATATAGTATAATATAGTATTATACAGTATAATATAATATTATATATAGTATTATATAGTATTATATAGTATTGTATAGTATAATATAGTATTATACAGTATAATATAGTATAATATAGTATTGTATACTGTAATATAGTATTATACAGTATAATAT